AAAATGTAAATCACCGTTGCAGTTTTCTTTTTTCTTCATATTTTCTACTGTGAGGTAGCAAACATGATGTCATTGTATAGATAGCCATTCTCCCTCTGGTCTGTGTAAATGTACATTGTTAAATGGTATGTTTGAGGCTGGGTGGGGTCAGAACTGGTTGTGTGCCTCTCAGGTTGCAAAGTATCTTTCTGCTTTTTCCCCTGCTGTGCTCACATGCTCTCTTAGTGTTACAGAAACTCAGGTTACAAGGATTTCAAAGAACGGCCTCTCCTGTTGCTATACTCCTGTTATACAGGCACACAAGTGTACAAGCTAATGCAATTGTTCACACAGGTACACACAAAAAGATGGGTAGGTACGTCAGTAGGGAGGGAGGATTATTGTCCGCTGGTTGATGATCGTGAAGTAAATTTTGGGAACGTGCACTTACAACAGAAGGCCAAAATGTAACTAGAAGGGATTCAGAAATAGAGACAAAATAAGTCCTGACACAAATCACAAGGAAGTATACAGGGAAAATACACGTTTAAATATACAAACACTGACAACAAACAAAGTGACAGTCAAATCAGATACAAATACACACCTGCTGCTGCGTAGTACGCCCATTGTGTGAAGTGAGGTCAGTATCCAGTTGCAGCAAAGTGTGCACCACCCCGACGTGGCCCATTCAGTTTAAACACAACCATTCCTCACCTTCATGCCGCTGTGTGTCTTTACAGTTCACACTGACAGGAGCCTGTTGTTTATACTGTTGTGGTTTTGTTTCACCTACGTGTTTATATCTGCTCCTCTCCACACCAGCGAGGTAATGATCTCTGGCTCAACAACCCCAGCCTCCTCTGAAAAGAAGTGCACAGCGCTCACTGACACTGAAACGTGTGTCGCATCTCTTAGAGACACAAAATGTTGTAGGTATACAATCATCTGTGGAATTTGTCGTGGCCTTTCCAAGTGACAAATATAGTCAAGCCCGTCTTTCCTCTATGATGATGATGGCAGTCTCTCACACCTTCTAAATATAAAATCAAGTCAAATCAAATCTAAAATCAAATCATGGCAGTTCTCTAGTTTATGAATCATATATAAATATGTAAGAATTTCATAATCTCATCTGAATCACAGAATGATTAAGAGATTATTGGCTATGTTAGGGCAAGTCCTCAGTCCAGTCCAAGTGTAGTGACACGTTCGTTTGAGACTGTGCAGATTAGTCATCCTCTTAATTCCGCCTCCATCATCTCAGCAGGACTGGCTGATCTCACCTCCTCGAGAACTGCTTAAGTGTTCCTTTTCCTCTCCATCAAACGATGTGTGCAGAAATAGATTCTCCAGCTGCCGCTCTTCCCTTTTCCTCTGTTTTCTCATCCTCTTCCTCCTCCTGCTCTCTCCTTATCATCACCATCACAAATCCCCATGCTATAAACAAAAGATTAACTCATAATCTCCCATGTAGATAAAAACGTTTGGTCACAGGAGATTTGAAGTACTTTAGCAGCAACTGTTTGTAGTTCCACTGACCAAAGATACCAATGAAAATGGTTCTAGGGGTTATGCACACCCTGCACACACACTGTACAGACTTAAATCAGGCAATGCTAAAAAAAAGTTACAACAAACAAACAAACAAATCTCTAATGTTGCAACAGTTAATGAATTATCTGTCTATACGACATCATTTCCTGTCTTCATGGTGACGTTATGGTGATGTCATTCCTATGACCAATTCGAATCTTGAATAATAATAATAATAATAGGTTGTGACTTCTACATTTATTTTTTGTAATTTATTACTTGTGAAGGTATCTTTGAGAAAACATTTTGTTCACCTTGATCTTGTCCTTTGACCGAACAGCTCCAAAAGTTAGTCATCTGGTGATACCCTCTGGAAAGATATTTCCAGTTTGGTGAAAATCTGTCTATGTGTTGTTGAGTTATTTCATTCACACACAAATACAGTTGATTAAGTTTCTACAGTAGCTAAAATTAGCTAAAAGCTAAAATCAGTAAATTCACGAAGACAATACTAACATGCTGAGGTTATAAATGTATATATAGTCCACCATCTTAGTGTAGCATTTCTATCTAATTAGCATTAACACAAAGTAAGGTGGGGGCTTGTATGATATTTTGAACCAAAATACTGGACCATGTAGCTGAAGATTTGAGCCATTAGCAAAGTTAATAAATTATAGTTTAAAAGACTTTTCACTCAAAACCCCTGTCACCCTCATGGTGGTAGATGCAAAGTCTAGAGATCAGGGCGATTTATCGTCTGGGGAACATGAATACTATATATCCACACATTATAATGGCCCATTTTACAATAATTGTAGAAACTTATTTCAGTGTCTTTTTTGCCGATTGACAAGTTTAGACAGTGAGTGCCCACATGAAAGAACAACCTGCCAATACCTGTCCAGCCTCACCCTAAGACTTCACCATTCTTTTATATTCATCAGAAATGAATTCAGTGGTCGGCTATTACTTTGACGTCATTAAGTTACCTTCTATTTCCTGTTCTGCCTTGAATCTAAATATCCCCCTCCGCTGTGTTACTGTTGATTCACCTAAGCGGAAGTTTACAGAGTCACGTTCATTCAATCAAGTGTAGGATTAAATATTTCATCACCAGCGTGTTATCTACTGAGCTTGTTCCAGCTGATACTTGGGATCCGCTGGGGGTCTGACACATGGCATGCTGGATGATCATTAGGGACCAAACCTCTCAGGTTGCATTAGTCACATCTACAGAAGATAATGTCGATTAGTCAACAGGATCATATTCTTTATTGCAGAACATATGAAGAGCAGCAATCACATCCAAGTACAGTTAAGAGTAAAATATGACGAATCTGCAGGCATGAGATGTATTTTAATACTTTGGGTGAGCCATACTTATTTTACAAGGCCTCCATGTGGACACTTGAATCTTCTATCTAATCTACATTCCTGGAGATGTTTTATGGAGGGGGATGACTCCAGTGTGTTTCATAATCAAAAGCTGTCAGTCACAAAACCAAAAACCAGGACACCAAACCAGCTATGCATTTCCTTTTCTACAAGCCACAGGGGTTAAAAGAGAGCAGTGATGGTATGTTGTGTAGCAACTATCTATGAACTGAGTAAACACTCATTTTGATGCCGCTAATGCAACTGCTCCTCTGTGTGCCTTGGGTGGTGTCTATATGAAACAATAAGGGATTGTCTATGAATCACTCGAGCAGCTATGTTGCATCACTTCTCTTTCTTCAGTAACATCGGATTCCATCCTAATCAGGCTATTTGAGCTGTGAGCATAGAAAAAGCCTCAAAAAAAAAACCCAGTGTATTTAGTCTCTCTCCTTTCAGGGTTTAAGAAAACATGAGAGACAAGGTTCTTTTCCTGGAATCCACATGGCCCTGGTCCAACTTCACAGCGAGGCTTCCACACTCCTAATAGACCACAAAGTAAAGATTACACAGCAGATCTGCCAGGGTAACGTTACTTCAGTCAGTGGCCACTACTGTAAATACTGTAAGACGATTGTCAATGAAGAAAAGAATGAATGGCACAATGTTTACAGAGGAAGCCTTTCCCTCATGCTTTGTCTTGGTCACTTTGTGCTGCTCCTCTGTTTTGTTTGTGTAACAAGACTTCACCGTCATCAAAGAATGGTGGCTGAGCAATCATCTCTGCAATCATTGTTGTTTGTTGACATCTACATCATAGTAAGACATCTCTTTAATTATGATTAGGTTTAATTTCCTAATTCCAGAGTACCAGCCTTTTTTTCAAAATACTGTTTAATGAGTCACCATTTACAAAAGTTTTATTACCAGAACTGGCTGAACTGGCGTTGCACCAGGAGGTAGAGAACATTGTCCAGAATTCAGAGGGTCAGTGGTTCAATACCTCTGATACACATTCTGAAGTAGAAGCTCTATATGAATGTGTATATGAGTTGTACTGTAAAACACTTAAAGTGGTTCATAAGATCGAAAATCGAACATTTCGATTTTAACTCATGAGCCCTCCACAAAAAGACCTAATAATAATAATATTAATATTATCATTTAAGTCAGGTACACTGTGCTTTAGTGGTACCATTACCAGATAAATAAATAATGAATAAATTACCAGATAAAGAAGTAAAAGAATGAAAATGAATCTGCAATCATGGTTCACCTTGAGCATTGCAGGCCCCTTTGAGCCTGGGATCCCCAAGGGGCCATGGCATGTTGATAATAATAGTAATAATGAAAATAAACGTTATTTATATAGTACTTAGTAAAAGAACTCGACATATAATTGGACATATATGATTTTGGGACACTATAGATTTTTCAGGGGCCATTAAGGGGTTACAATTTACACAGAGGGGCCAATTATATGTCCAACATCCATGCACAATCCCTGATTCAGTTGGGTGCACATTCAAATCATTACTTGTTTACATCATTGACATTCTTTTCAAAATGATTCCTCGTTCAAGCACATCGTGCACTATAAAACACACAAATTGTCTTTTTATTGTTAGTATTGTAAGTGACTAGTTTTTCCTTTTTCTGTGAGACAGGACTGAGGCACTTCAGGGCTCAATCAGGTTTTACCTCGGTCCAGTGCCACCCTGTATCCCCTCCAAAGTGGCCCCTGATGTATAGAAATCCTCGACCCGCCCCTGGTGTCCAACACGTGCAGGACAGGTGAGTGTGTGAGTGAAGCGTTGGTGTGATTGTGGGCTGGTCAAACACTAACAGGCTGATGGAGCATGTGCGTTGAGCAGTGGGTCCTCGGTGGGATGAGGACACATGTGCCTCAGGACGAACATGGACACTGCGTAAAGCGCTCAGCTCCAGTCGAGGCGGGGCGAAGTGTGTCGACAGAGAAGCTTCCCTCAGAGACGCAGAGAGCCTCTGAGTCTGCCACATTCTCTCTGACATGCCTCTGGCGTGACAGCAAACTGGTTCCGCTGGTGACGACGGAGGAAAAGGCTGCGTAACACCGACACTTTGGACAAGTCCCTGGTGGACTCGAGGCGCGACGCCACCGCGGAGGAGGAAAAATAAAACATGGAGGAAGAGACCAGATGAGATGACGGGTCTGAACTTTGATCGAGTTGAAGATTGATATTATCACTGAGGTGAGTCAGTGTGATCTGAAGTTGAGGAGGGGAAGTGTAACATATGGACACTCACACACACATACCTGTGTTACAGCTCTGTGACGCGACACATCTGTGGAAACAAGTCAGTAAATTCCTGCTCTAACTTTTCTGTCCTCCGCCAAAACTATTCAGTCCGCAGTTTACTCTCTGAATCCCGTCTTCCTGTTTTTCTGTTTGCCGTGTGTTTTCTTTGGAGCGCGTTGTTTCCTTTGGCTCGTCTCGTTTCTGAGGCTTTACGTGAACTTGCAAACGCAGACTTTGGTTTTTTGGTTCAGAGGGAGGAGCCGCACCCATGATCATCTGTCCTGTGGTCAGATTCCTCTGCTTCACCCTGAGCTGCTGCTGCGAGTCCGATCACTGAGATACGAGCTGGAATCCGCAGATCTGATCAGGGTGAGATGAAACCACTGACTTCAGACGTTTCTGCTGAGGCTGAGCTGTAGAACAGAGCGGCACGACTGAAGTTCATTTTACATTTACGGTTTCTCTGATGTTGACATTGTATCTCCATTCGGCTAAAGCATGCAAAAAAAAAAAAATCTAACTGAGACTCTAACCAGTTCAGGCATGTATTTTTCGACTGTAGATTAACATGATGTGTCACGATGAAATATCTTACACAAGTCATTAAACAAAGAAATGTAATTTATTGATTATTTTCTCTCCTGCTTAGTAATTTAGTTTATAAAGTGTCACAAACTTCCCGTAGCTAGTTTCCAGAGTTCAAGGATGTCCTCGAAATGTAATCTGACCTGTAATTGAATCTTATTCAACACTGTCTAGCTGAAACAAATGTGTGGTATAGAAGTGATTTATTCTATATTCAGTAAGGATGGCGCTCAGTAGAGCACATTGCTCCTCCAAGGCCCAGCATTGGGCCCAGCTTCATTCCCTTATGAATTTAGATTTTGTTTTAACATTTAAATTCCAGATTTTTATTTGGATCCGCACCAAATTTCACACATTCATAAATCAGTCTCCTAAACATGCCAGATTTTTGTTATCAAGAACCATGAGTTATTCTCTGAGACATTATTGAAACTCTCCAGCCAGATCTCACAGTGTTAAAGAAATGTTTGTTTTTCATATGTCCCAACCTTCCAACAAGTTTTGTGGAAATCCACCCTGTGTTTCATTTGCAATCTCGCTTACAATCTAACAAACCAACCAACAATCAAGTGGACAAAACAACCTTGTTGGCCGAGATAATTAATTCATTGTGTGTGCCCCCCCCCCCCTCTAGTTTCCAGTATGGCACGACGCTCTCAGTGTTCCTCTGCTGGGGATAATCCCCTGGACCCCAACTACCTCCCTCCTCACTATCGGGAAGAGTACCGCATAGCTATCGACGCACTGGTTGAGGAGGATTTGGAGGGATACTATAAGTTCCTCCAGTTTGTCGATGTGGTGGACTTCCTGTCCACGCCTGAGATTCAGTACATCCAGGGATCTGTTCAGGCCCCTCATCAGAGCCACCACCCTGAACAACCCGTCCTGGAGACCGGGGCAGATGGCTCCTCAGACACTTACTGGCCGATTCACTCGGACCTGGAAGTCCCGGGTCTGGACCTCGGCTGGCCTCAGTTGCATCACTTCATCGGGCCCACGGAGATCACCACACTGGTCAGCCCCCCTGAGCCTGACATGCCGAGCATCAAGGAGCAGGCCCGGCGACTTATCAAGAACGCTCAGCAGGTTTGCCGCTCACTTCCTCTACGAGACACCTTCATGCCAGACAGACAGAGTCAACTTGTCCTGTCAGTTTTGTTTTCACGCTGGTTGTGTTTGTGGTTTTATTTTCTCAGGTCATTGCTGTGGTGATGGACATGTTTACTGATGTTGACATATTTGCGGATATTCTCAATGCTGCCATGAGGAATGTTGCCGTCTACATCATTTTAGATGAGCAGAACACACATCACTTCGTCAACATGGTGACCAACTGCAGGGTCGATCTACAGAGCATTCAGGTGAGTCCTTTAAGACTTTGCTTTATAGATTGCATTTACTCCCAGTCAGTGTGTCTACTATTCTACATTTTTGATCGAGAGGAGAAACTAGAAGCTGTAGTGAATAAGACATTTTAATAAACCCTTCTTTTTACTATAACAATGATAGATATTTACAAATGCAATAATAATTAATTAACTAATTTAAGCTTTGACTAGAGTTTGACTAGCAGATAAAAAAAAGATGCTTATGTACTTTGAACTACTAAAGTATATGTCCAGTGATATTTTTGTTATTATGAACAAATTCAATGAAAAGTTGGAAAAAACATGAATGAACTAATCCTAATAACAGGTATTAAGTGTTTCTTAAGTCTGATATTGTTTGTTCCTTTGTGTCATAGAACTCCAAAAACAACTGCTCCACTGACTTTTACTTTGACGAACATGGACATTGTAGTTTTTCTTTGCCACAGACATTTACATGTACACAGAGCAGTTTTAAATATATTAACTTGAGCACCAAATACATAGTTTGAGCAACATTTGCCAAAACCTATACTGTCCAAATGTTTTGGGAAGTAAAAATATATATTTGCGGCCTATAATTTTGGCAGGAATGAATGGCTCTGATCCTTGGCAGACACGTGGAAGTCACACAGTGGTGAAACATAGCTGCTTTTGGACTTTTCTTGCGTCTATTTGCTGACTGTAAGATAAACACAGAACTTTACTTATGTTATCTGTTACCGGTTTTCTCCATTCATGACAAACACAAATATAGGAGGTACACACCAGCTCCAACTGACTTAACTATTAGAAATGTATATTGGTGGACACTTATTGAGCACAGTTACTGAACTACACTGAACACAATATTTAACATCTTCATGTTGCTCCATCAGGCAGCGTGAGTCTTACATACTATATACCGTCATAAGGACATATGATGTTTTGTCTGGTGTGTTGAGTTATTGTGATTGTCAGTTGCTGCATGTTTGCTTTCACTTTGTGTGCTATGTGGCTATTGGTAATGCCTGTAGCACTAATGTGGATGTTTAATTTTTACCTTATGTGTATCTAAGTTCCTGCTCAGGTGCATTTACTTCACATTCATGTTAAATAATATGTATTGTCCCTGATGTGTACAGTGAATATAGACAGTTGAATAGATGAATAGAAATCACTGTAACTGCATATGACTGTAAAAGAGAAGTTGAAATGCAGCCATTTTCTATCTCCTGATCTCAAAGGCTGTGCTAATGCAATGCTGCCACCTAGCTCAAATTGCAATTAAAAACACTTAAAGGTACAGTGTGTAGAATTTAGTGATATCTAGTATTAAAATTGCATGTTGCAGCACCCCTCACCTCGCCCTCCCCTTCCAAACATGAAAAAGAACCTGTGGTAGCCTTCAGTTGTAATAAAAACTCAAAAGGTGCTTAATTTGTCCAGTCTGGACTAAAAAACATGACCGCCTCCATAGAGAGGGTCCCCTTGATGCAAATATGAAGTGTTTAAATATAAAGGGCATTTTCTGGGGTAAAGAAAACTACAATTCATACAATTTAGATGAAACGAACTAGTGAAAACATCATGAGGATTATTCTACATTAAATTTCTACCAATAGTTCCCTTTCACCTAAATCTTACACACTGGACCTTTAACACCACTAGATGTGTCTCAACATTCAACATGATTGGCTGATTTCATGTGTGTGTTGCAGTTTTTACGTGTGAGGACAGTGTCCGGCGTCACCTATCACTGTCGCTCAGGGAAATCCTTCAAAGGTCAGATGATGAATCGCTTCCTGTTGACAGACTGCAGGGCTGTGCTGAGTGGAAACTACAGGTGAAGATATTACAAGTTGCCACAGAAAGCCGCACCTCTACAACTTGACACATTTGTAAAAAGGCATCTGTTTGTTTTACAAAACTGGATTGAAGTGCTTCTATTAATTCCCACTTCTTGTCATGCTTTTTCCAGCTTCATGTGGTCTTTTGAGAAGCTTCACCGCTCTATGGCGCACCTTTTCCTAGGAAAGCTGGTGTCAACCTTTGATGAAGAGTTTCGGATTCTGTTTGCTCAGTCTCAGCCGCTGATGCTTGAAAATGTGCCTGCTGCAATGGAAGATTTTGGCCAATCACAAAAGAGGCAATATCTAAGTGAAAGAACTGCACTGCTCAGAGAGCCCAGGAAATTTCTATCGCTGGACACCAGTCATCCAGAGGAACGGACGAGACATTCCTTTGATGAACGAATGAACGTTGACCGAAGAATGATGCCGTTCAAAAGACAGGAAGCCCTGCACGGCTCTCCAGATGTGTACGGTAGATTTTCCCCCCAGCAACCTCGCAAGGATCTGCCTTATGACCAGGGCCCCTCCAGAATAACCATGCTTGACAGTTCTGCTTTCAAACGTCACAGTTACGCTGAAGGTGTTCAGGGTCGTTTCTCTTACCCATTCCTGCAGCAACAGGGGGTGCAGGAGCCTGAGAACCAGGGAAGGCAGTTTCACAGGGGGCAGCAGCCCTACCCAGCGCCTATAACAGGACCAGAAGCAGATTACAGTGCCTATGACAAGTTCTGGGATCAAGACTTTCATTCAGCAGATCAATACTCTGAACCTGTTATTTCACAAGAGATGCAACCACCTGATAGCTTTGACCCCGTGCTTAACTATTTATCATCTACCAGAAATGTGGACTTCGACCAGAGCTCGGACAAATTAGTACCTTCAGCAGATTTACCGTTTAGTTCACCTCACCCTAGAAGACAGAGTTTAGGTCAGCTATATGCTTGTCAAACGTCCCCCCCCCCCTCAAATCCAACAGATCAGAAGCAGTTTTTCCAGGAGCCTTACACTGACCGCAAGGACCCCACGGTGAAACGAGGGCTGAGAAGCTGGAGGATTAGCTCATACCTCAGTGCATGTGATAATCCAGGAGATGAAGGCCTGCCTACGGCACCACCTCAGGGACCAGATCCTTTCGAAGAGACATCAAACCCAATACAGCAAACAGCTACAGGCGTAGATTTAACATTTCCTAAAATCCCTAACGTCAGAGAGTTTCGGGTACCTGCAATACCCAGGGCAAGTCAGATGCCAAGTTATGCCAAAACCACTGTGCGAGAGCAGCCAAAAAAAGTGCCAGATGAACCTCCTGTAGTGGCAGCAGAAACCAAAACAACACCAACACCTTCAGAGTCATCGTCCACAGCAGAAGTGGAGAAGGCAGAGGAAGTGGAACTGAAAGAGCCCAAAATCACCGGTCTTCAAAGGGATGAGTCATTCCGGAGGAAGTACAACGCTGCAGCACCAAGGAGCTCCAGGTTACGATCCTCTCTGATATTCAGCTCACTTGAGCAGCAGCATGCTCCTCAAGATACCAAAACCGCTCAAGGGCAACAGGATGAGAAAAGTGACACAAACGAAGCAGAACAGACAAAACTGCCTTTTTTTTCACAGGTTTTGGGAAAAAGGCGAGAACCTTTGGAATGGACACGTTACATAAAGTCGCACACTATTGATAACTCGACCACAGAAACATCCAAGACAGAAGATAAAGATCCATCAAAGATAAAAGATTCAAATGATCTTTCAGGAAACAGTACAGGGGAGTCATTAAAACTACCGGATGTCGAGCAAGATAATTCTTCACCATCAATTTCTCAATCCAAGCCTCCTGAAGCTGAGCTTCCCCAACCTGATCCACCAGCACAAGCACCCAAATCTTTGCTCAGCACTCCAGCATATATAGATATGAATGATCCTGATGCAAGGTTCATGTTTTTCAAAGAGCTGGCAGCAAAGCGCAGAGCAGAAAAGGCTGCAGAGGCCGAAAAGAGCAAAGAAAAGGCTCAAATGAAACCAACTGATCTCAAAAACAAGACCAGTGATAAAAAGGAGGAACCTGTTCCAAAAGCCTCTCCAGAAAAGATGGCTAATACGTCACCATCTGGGGATTCATCTGAAAAAACCAGTACTCCAGCATCATCTTTGTTTGATGCTGCAGAGACTGAATCTCCTCTTGAAGACTCAAAGCTGTCAAAACCTACTGTAACAGAGAGTAGCTTAAGTAATCCACCTACATCAACAAACAGTGCCCCTGCTGATGTTTCCTCTCCTGCACAGGGTACAGATAAACATGAAATCTCAAGCTGTGATTCTATCCCAAAGGAGTCCAGTTCTCTCACTCCCAGCTCAGTGGAGGTACCAGCTGCATTGGATTCTAAAACACAGATACCTGAATCAGTACAGGTTTCACCTGCACCGCTATCCAAACAACCGACTGGATCAGAAATGAGTTCTTCTCTCCCGTCAGTTCAAAGCTCTTCCTCTGATCCCCTCCTGTCAGATTCTGGTGCACAGATCAGTCCAAGTCATCCAACCAAATCACAAATGGTTGAAGAAGCCACTGCAGAATCAACACCCTCTGAGTCTGCGGAGTCTGTTTCCCTGTTGAAGTCATCTGAGACCCTTTCAGCAAAGGATTCTGCAAATTTAGAATCGGAAATGTCTGAAAACTCTTGTGCTCCCACACCTCCAGAAAAAGGTGTAGTTAATTCAGAAACTGCTGCAGAGAAGTCTGAGGTTCTTGCATCACCAGAGGAAGTCAAATCTGATGGCGCACCTCCAAGTCCTAATCCATCACCCAAATCAGCTCTAACTAATGTATCTGATCGGGAAAGCTCCACTTCCAGCCCTGATCAAATTAAGACTATTTCTCTCAACCTCCTGCCTGATGCCCCATCAGAAACATGCTCTCCCGTCAATCCAGAAATCACTGCTGATGCTTCCCAGTCCACATCAAAAGCATCTCCACAAGATGCACTGACGCAAGCAACCCCACCATCTGAACTTGACCTGACAGGATCTGTCACTCCTACTCCTGTTGAAACACCATCAGCTTCCTCTCCTCTAAGTGAGTCGGCTGGGGCAGTTTTGTCCCCTGAGGCTGAAAAAGCAGAAACCAACATGTCCTCATGCAGCCCCACAGACACACTCTTTCTCCCCAAGCAGGTTGTTACAGACTTAAATGATACTCCAGGATCGTCTAGCCCAACTGAGCCTACCTCAAATATCCCTCCAGAGCCTTCACCTGAATCTGTGAGTTCAGAAAGTCAACCTTCAGAGCCACTTGAACCTACTGAAAAGAGTAAAGTAGATCAACAGAGAGAAATTAGCAAAGAGCCTGACTTGCCTGACCCTGTTGAGAAAAAAGCTGAGGACGTCGAGGCCACAAACAAAGTCAATAAAGGTACAACACAGGAGTCTGTCAGAAGTGAAAAGACAAATGAACAACTGAGCCAAAACAACTGCTCGGAAGTGGCAGAGACCATAACAACCGAAGCCGTTCCTCCGTCACAACAGTCCAAGCAGCAGAAATCCAGCCAGTCTCGCTACCAGTCATCAACTGCCAACGTGCTCGCAAGCAGCAACCTCCGAGACGACACAAAGCTGCTCCTGGAGCAGATTTCTGCCAACAGCCAGAGCAGGAACGAGGCCACCAAAGAGGCTCCTGTCACCGACGACGAGAAAGAAGATGAAGCTGACAAAAACGCCAAGCGGGAGAAAGAGAGAGGGATCAGGACGCTGAACAGAGGAGAGCCCAAGTCAACACAGGAGAAGGAGAAGCTGCTGGAGAGGATCCAGAGCATGAGGAAGGAGAGGAAAGTTTATAGTCGATTTGAGGTATGAATACACACAACACCACGGGTACTCTCACCTATTTAAATGCATTTAGTTGCATTTTTGTTAAGAAATGTCATGTCTCTGCATCTTTCCCAGATGGCACCCTAACTGCTATCCAAAGATTGTTGAAGAGAATAAAGTAGAAAGAAGGTGAACTCTTAGAAAGTGTGAATGATGACCGAGACATTTTCTCACCAAAAACACAAACTTTCCAATGTTGAAACTGATACTAAAGAAAACAATCCTGCTGCCACATGACATGAACCAAAGGACAACTTACTCTGGGTGATGCAACACTTTGTTACCAGTGTGAAAAGTACATGGACTGAGAATGTGTGTGATCAAATATATTTTACTGACTGCATGGGTAAAGTGCAATGCCTGTCCTTGCCTATTTTTTTTATTTTTATTTTTTACAGCACTGACAAGTGTCAGCTGTTTTTTAGAGTAAATGTAATGTTTAAGTATATTGGTGATTTTAAGTTGGTAAAACTGTAACACACCGTTGTGTGAATGATAGTATTTCTCTATCATGTTAAACAAAGGATGGTGATTATGACATGTAATTGTGGATCTGTAAACCCATATCCATGACAGGTGGTTATTGTTCTGATGTAAATAAACTGTAACTTAAATTCTTTGTCACCTGACCCTTGAAGCAGAATACCACCTGCAGCATCACTGTGTCTTAAAATCTGCTTGTTCAGCCAAAGCACCCAAAGTATTTGTTACATAGGAAATTAAATTAATTTTGATTTGATGATTAGATGATTTGTGAAACAAACACAAAAGTGAAAATGTAACTTTTGGCCAAAGCTACCTCAAAACATGAGGTTACGTTTTGTAATGTGCTGCAACCAACTCTTTTCTTGACCCTGTGATTTTTCTTAATGAAAGCTGTCTTAACTTACCTGAAGTTCTGAAATCTGCTCAGAATTGACACGACAGTATGTAGAGCGCAACAGTTACACACTTGTGAGTGAGTGTGAATGATTTATGATGCCTGACTCATGATGCCTGTCCTCAGCAATATTTGTCATTTGTAAATAAAATGTTTTACAAATATGTATTTTCTGGCTCATTTGTGCCTGGTGTTAAACTAAATTCTTTATCCATTTAAATCAGTAAAGTATCATAATTAACACGGCAGATATTATGACTTGTTCTAATAGTAGCAGTTGTTATTAGATGTTTCCATTCTATTCCACCACTATTACAGTGACAGTGAGCCAACGTGTACAATTCAAGGACCATGAATCCAAAGCAGCTAAATGGAATTCAGCCGCATCATCTTATTATTTACAACCATGCTTTTCTTTGTTTAAACTGATTCTTTTTGTTTTGATGTATTCCTGAACAACCTTTTTTGTCTATTCTTGGTTTGAGATGATTGAATGTCATTTACTCTGTGTGTATTACTAAATGTGTCCTTTTCTTCTTCAGCCCAATAAGATGATCTATGGGGCTGCACATTTACATTTACATTTAGTGCATTTAGCAGACGCTTTTGTCCAAAGCGACTTACAATAGGTACATTTATCACAAGAGAGAAACCACAACATATCACCATCGATGGGGTAAAATATAGAAACAATTGTCAAGCTCTCATCTGAGGATCGTAACTGCTATGGGCCAATGTTATACACAGATTTGCACGTTGTTGATTACATTGTACTACATATTATAGAATCATATGTATATTGGATACACAAGGAGAAACATGGTTACATCATTATTACTCTACCCAATGTTACACAACCTGTTTACACCAGTATCTCATGAATGTGTCACCGCAATGACTTTCCTCTAGCACCACCCTCAGGCCGAATGTTACCACATCTGTAAACATGTTGACGAGAGCACAAAAACATTGCTTGTAGATACATCTCATCATCTCATCTGGTGTCACCCTCTTTACACAACTTAAAATTGTTTTAGAAATATTAATCTTACTTCCCTTTTTCATCCATCAAACCATTTTTTCCCTCAAATGAAACAAAACAGCTTCACATGGCTGCTACCATATACTATAATTTAGTTTGATTACATGATGCATGTGGGACTATTATGTGTTTAGACCTGTTTTGACCCAAACACACACATTTTTCTACAGGTTGTGTAACTGAGTGATTAAGAAACTCAACAACCTGACTAAGAATACAGTTTGTCTTAATTCACCGTTTAAGCGTTTTTCTGCAGTTTGTGTAACTGAGTTATTACGCACCATCTTAACCCAAAACTCTACTTTTAGTCTTACTTTGCTGCTTTAATAGTTTTTCGTCAGTTTGTGTAAGTGAGTGATTAAGACAGCCTCCATCTTAACCAAAAATGAAATAAAAGTGAAACGTTTTTGTGTGAGACTGAGTAAATGAGAAACCATCTTAACCAAAGGTGTAGCCTTCAGTCATTGTTTTCCAACGTTTGTGTAAATCAGTGGATACAAAACTAAACATTGTAACCAAGATTACAGTGGTAGCTTTAATTCATTTTTCATTTAGTCAATATCAAGACTTTTTCAGCAGTTTGTGTGACTGAGTAAATGAGAAACTCACTATCTGACCACCTGAATTCACTGTTTTAAGCGATTTTCTAGTTCCTATGATTCATAGGAACTAGAAAATCGCCATTAGTTCATAAAGACTTGAATAATCAAGAGTTAATTTAGGTCTCTGTATGTATCAATACCCCTCCATACACAGGTCAAAGGTCAACCACGAAACAACATATCTGATGACAAGAAGAACTGAGTGTCATGTTCACCTCAGTGTTTTAGGACACACAAGCTCATATTATTGAATAGATGGAGAACTTAGCTCCTCCTCCTCTCCTCTCTTCTGTCATAATCGTCTCAGCCGTTTTACTTTATTTAACTTTAGGGGGCTTCTCTTGCAAAAGACCATGAAAGCGATTAAGCCTTCACTATGAATGAAATTTCACACAGTCACATGCTGCAGCGCGTCGGGAGTGAACGAAGGGCTCCTTCCCATGCTTTATAAGAAACAGTGGGCCTCTTGTTGCTTTGCCTCCACCGCTCACAAATGTCTTGATAAGCTCGCACTGAATTACACTAATCTGTAAAGAATCCACACTGCCTGGAGTTCCTCACGATTGAAGGGCAAAGCTGCAGTTTTAAAGAGTAGTTTTTGTTTTCCCTCTTGTGTTTAATGTATTTGGTTGTTTGTTGGTGAGCAGTACAAGTTTATGTCAGAATGTCTTCAACCCTGAGGAGAGTGTATCACATCACTGCATTCAGCTGGTACGCTTTTGTTGTGAAGACTCTTGCTGGCAAGGTTGGAGAGGAGTTACCTGCAGGGATCTTTGTTTATGGAGGACCTTGGAAGTACCTCACGTTCTTGAATTTGGTGAGTACAATACCTCTATTACCTTGTAACACATCTGCTTACATGAATATATATTGCAGATATAAACAAGAGGGACTCTCGGTAGAGTCTATACCTCCGCTGAGAACCAACATTCCCCTTATGAAACCACATTTAAGTTCTCCAGATTTTTATTTGGATCTGCACCAAATTGCACACATTCATAAATAGCAGTCCCCTAAATATGCTTAATTTCAAAGATCCATGAATTAAAAATGTGGAAAAATCTCCCAATGTTAAAGAAACAACATTTAATGGGCTGTTTTTCGGACCCATACCGCAGCCACAATTTTCGTGGAAATCCGTTTTGAAGTTTTTGTGATATTCCTGTTGATTAACCGACAGACAAACAAGCAGTAGACAACTATAACCTCCTTGACTGCAGTAAAAATGATGATGAAGAGTAATAATCTTTTTTTTATTTCAGTTATTGCAGATGTGTTTCTTTGGACTGGCAGCAGTGAACGACCTACAGCCTGGTAAAAAATCTGAGAATACTCTGAGCAGATGTAAAGACTTCCTGTTCACTGTGTTTGCTTTCCCTGTAGGCATGGTGAGAAATAGAGTTTAGAACATTGTTTATAAAAAAATTACATTTTTAATCATCATTATGCATTAACTTTCTCTTCTCTGCATTTCTTTAGTTTGTTGTTCTGCTTTTCTGGATGATCTTTTCCTATGACAGAGAGTTGGTCTATCCTGCTACTATTGACACCTTCTTCCCTCCATGGATAAACCACGCTATGGTCAGTAAACTTTATTTTTTGTAAAGACTTTAAATATGACTATGATATCCTGTCATAAACACATGATGAGTTGTTCCAACACTGTTTTCTCAGCATACGTTTGTCCTGCCCATTTTAATTGGAGAAGTGATTGTGCAGCCGCACATTTACCCACAGACTAAACAGGCACTGGCAGCGTTAGGAGGCGTGGGCGTGGCTTACTTGTCTTGGTGAGTGATGAGTCAGTGTGCACAGGAATAGACAACATTTCTTATCCACTTCCTCCAGAGGCACAAAACTTAAGCTACAAAATCCAGATATGGATGCCACAATGACAGAAACCATCTTTGAGAAAATTCTGTTTGACATATTATTTTAATTTTTTTTTAGTTTGGTCCATGTCCCATCCCCTAACATGGAGGAGGCAGTGTTTATTATGTGTACTGTAGTCAACCACAAAGAGGCATTCAAGCTAATTTGGCTCCACTTTTGGTGAGCCGTCATGTTGTCCATCATTATATAAAGTTCAAAACACAAATAGCTTGAGACCGAAAGCGTTGAACTACCATTGGCTCTGGTTCACAAACTGTGACTCAGCCTGTCATGCTGCAAACAGTAAAAACACTGTAGGACGATCATGATAAGATTTCTTTTAATGTGTTTCTGTTGTAATTGTCAGTATCATCTGTGTCAACGGGTGGAAACTCTGAGGGTGAATATTTGCACAAGACAGAACAGTGCACGATCTTTGAAGACAAGACAGTCCAACATGATCTGACAGATATCCAGTATCCAGTGATACCAGGAACAGCTCTTCTTCTTTTTTTAACCCCTCTTTCTCTCTCTCTATCAAAACATCCTGCAGGATCATATGGGTGTACTTGTCGGTCGGGATTTGGGTGTATCCCCTCCTCGGCCACTTCAGCACATCTGGTCTGGTGGGCTTCTTCTTCTTTAACATGTTTGTGGTGACCCTCTTCTACCTGCTGGGGGACAAGCTCAACAGCCATGTGTGGAGTAAGTGATGTTAAAAGACACATGAATGGAAGCAAATATCAGCATTTGAGTTTACATGCATCTAATCGATCCGTCTGTCTGTCTGTCTGTCTGTCTGTCTCTCCAGGTAAGCACATGAACAAAATGACAGCAAAAACAAAGTAACTTCCTGCAGGATGGAAATGTTTAAAGAAAGAATGAATCCCTCAGAGCAAGCGTATACTTTTACTTTTGAGGAAAGAAATAACAAATTCTTGTTCTTACAAATAAAAGGTTGAATATATAAAACAATAAAATGCACCATTGTTGAGTTCATTACTCTCATCTGTTGGTCTGGTGTGACCAATGGTGGCTTATGTGAGCAAATCTTATTAGAAAGTATAATACATACTACTGGTATTATGAATCTTCCCATTGTGTTTTACTGTTACATTGGTTGCTAAACAGGGGTTAAACATTTAGGTTGCATTGCAACAATACTGCCAATTGTAGCCACAGTAACATAGTCTGTCTTTAAATGGATTAGCAGCTTTTTGTTGTGCAACTGCTTACAACAGCTCTGATATAATGGAACCAAGCAGTTTTAACATGGTAAAGCACACACCAATAAAGCAAGTGTCACCGACCAAAGAATTCTAGATTTTAAAAAAGGAAAAGAATGTAATAAATATAATGTGTCAGAAGCTCTTTCCACATCCAGGTTAGAGTTAGGCAATAAATCAGCAGTAAGGATCCACCATCAGTATTATCACTTGGGCAGATTATTCCTCATTGATTACCAATGCCACGTTTGACCTGAGTAAAGTGTCTGTTCATCATTAATCTCGGAACATCTGTGAAAAGTGCTTGACTTGAAGTATAATCCATCACTCAATGCTGAACAGCCTTGATACAATGTCATCCCAAGTCCACTGAGATCTCCAGGAACAGCTGTGTCCCTTTCTTTCTCTCACTC